CATCATATTTCAGTACCAGTTCACAGCTTTATTTATCTGAATCAATCAAACAATTTGATATCTTTGAAAATCCAATAATAAAATCCAAAATTCAACAGATATAATTTCACAGATCAACATATTGCGATCTGATGTTGCGTGCTGCCATCCAACCTGCCAAAAAGGCAATCTGACCAATAGCAACAACGGATTTACAATCAAAAAATCCAAATAAAGAGCACTTCGTTCAAAATCTCAAATATTTCTTACTATTCCTCCCTCCCCTTCACAAACTCTATCCACCAATCCCTTCTATATTTAATCGACCACTTTCCCTTGTTTAATAAGAAATGACCTCATCTTAACAAACAAATCACTTACCTTCTAAACAACAACCAACCAACAATAAAAGATGGCGTTATTGTCGGTTGTAACAAACAAACAGGTAACATACAGATGAATGAATCAAGTGAATACAACTACATCTCATCTGCATACAGTTCATTCAGCAGCACAAAAACACAACCCGATCAAGGTCACCACCACCCCATCACCAGCACCAAGTAATCCTTTCAAGTCATCATCCATTCATCTACTTCGTCTCACCAAATAAATCTCACATAGAATCGATCCATCCCACTTTAAATCGCAAGAAAGTGCATCCTACACATCTCCTCTCAGTATCGCTGAAAACCTCCAAGTCCTGACGATTTCAACGCCTCTCCTTCACCTTCAGCTTTCCAGCATTTTCCCAATTTACAATCAATCGTAACTCAGCTAAGTTCTTGACGTACTTTAGCCCTACGATCACTCCTCACTAAACCACAATCTCTAAGCCGTGACAGTCATCTACCACCGAACGAACACATTAATGCANTGTGACGACAAAACACTCGAATAAAAATTAAAACATTTATTAATTCATCATTTTCAAGAACAAAAAAGAAATAAACCGAACAAGTTATGCAATACAGCAAAACACGCAACTGGACACAATTATAACCATACTGATGATGATAATCATAATTGCAACAACAACATCACTTGATCAATAACGCTCGAAAGCGTTCCGATTCAACAGCGAAACGCCAAGCAATCGAAAAGTAAACTGATGACAAAACAACGTTGTGATCGACTGATAACTTATTAAGCACATCTCACTTTAATGCCCGATCTTTTGAAAATAAAAAAGATATGGACAACAAGTCAGCCCATACGTGTATCTAGAGCTGCTGTCAAGCGTTCGCCAAAGATTCCTCTCAACTAAACTCGTTGTAGTACTCTCCACTCCAAAATTCCTTCTCCCAAAAGCACATCAACATAAAGAGAACAATGAAAAAATTTGTATCATAAAAGCAGAATCAAACACTAAGCCGTAATCGAAATTTGCACACTGTCAAACGATAACAACAATGATGACGAATAACCATTGATGGAGTGGGAGGGCAGCGAAGGAGAATCGTAAACCAAGCGGAATACGCTTCGAGGTTGATCAATTCAAGTACAAAAAATTACGCCCAGGTTGAGTCGAGTCACCAAACAAAACAAAAAAACAGACATCGAATTTGCACACCCTCAGCAGTCATCAGAAGAGAAGAAGGAGAGAACTAAGCGCGCATCAAAAGGAGTGTCACAAATTTATAAACAAATTGCTCTTACAGAATGCTGCTCGATCGAACATTACATATGCATAAATTGACATAATAATCTTTAAAATTGATAAAATAATATTGGATTGGCGGGACAAAGAAACAACAGTTAAAGGGCACAAAGAAGATAACAGATCACTGGGGAAGGGGGATAATACGGCAGCGAATACAGAGGAACTGGATGACAAGGGATGGGACTAAAGCGGAATGATATTTGATGTGGTGAAGTGAGATAGACGTCGTTGGATAGATGGGTGGTTGGTTTAGAAGCACTTGCGGTGCACAATCGATGGACCAGATTCGTCGTATTCTTGCTTTGAGATCCACATTTGCTGGAAGGTGGATAATGAGGCCAAAATTGAACCTCCAATCCAGACCGAGTACTTACGCTCTGGTGGAGCGATGATCTTGATCTTCATTGTGCTGAAAAGATAATCAATTATCACTGACCAACAGATTTAAGAAATTAGCACATCTGAATGTGAATAGAACCAAAATAGTGAAATATTCCCAAGACACTTGCCTTGGTGCTAGAGCAGTGATCTCCTTTTGCATACGGTCGGCAATACCCGGGAACATTGAGGTACCTCCTGAGAGAACGGTGTTCGCGTAGAGATCCTTACGGATATCTACATCGCACTTCATGATGCTGTTGTATGTTGTTTCGTGAATACCACATGATTCCATTCCTGTAAAATACTTACACGTCAAACCTCCTTACGAGAATTGCAGTAACTGGAGACAAATCATCATTAAGTGAAAGTTCGATTGAAATTTCTAGGTCAACCACTCGAAAGACGAACCAAGGAAGGAAGGCTGGAAGAGTGCCTCCGGACATCTGAATCGTTCGTTTCCAATTGTGATCACTTGACCGTCGGGCAATTCGTAGCTCTTCTCCAACGAAGAAGACGATGCAGCCGTGGCCATTTCCTGCTCAAAGTCCATCGCCACATAACACAGTTTCTCCTTGATATCACGAACGATCTCACGCTCGGCTGTCGTCGTGAACGAATAGCCACGTTCGGTTAAGATCTTCATCAGATAGTCGGTAAGATCACGTCCGGCCAAGTCCAAACGAAGGATGGCGTGTGGCAACGCATAACCCTCGTAGATTGGTACTGTATGCGTAACACCATCTCCGGTATCCAATACGATACCAGTTGTACGACCAGATGCGTACAGGGAGAGTACGGCCTGAATGGCGACGTACATTGCGGGTGTGTTGAATGTCTCGAACATGATTTGAGTCATCTTCTCCCTGTTCGCCTTCGGGTTGAGCGGTGCCTCGGTGAGAAGCACAGGATGCTCTTCAGGTGCCACTCGCAACTCGTTGTAGAACGTGTGATGCCAGATCTTCTCCATATCGTCCCAGTTCGTGACAATACCGTGCTCGATCGGGTATTTCAGTGTCAAGATACCACGCTTTGACTGAGCCTCATCACCTACATACGAATCCTGAAATGGATCCAATATATCACCATCATTTGTACGAATTATCCGCATGATTGTATGCGAATAACATTTCAAGTGCTCAGATGTCTTTGATTAGCACACACCTTTTGACCCATGCCGACCATGACGCCTTGATGGCGTGGACGACCGACGATTGATGGGAATACGGCACGTGGTGCATCATCCCCGGCAAAGCCAGCCTTGCACATTCCTGATCCATTGTCAATAACAAGAGCCGCAACGTCGTCGTCAGCCATTTTGATGATTTGTCAATTGAAACAAAGCGTTCACCCGATCGATAGACGAAATCTACCACTTCAATGGAATACTTTTTATTACTTTTATAGGTAACTTCATTGCAGTCCCGAATTCGACATCACACGTAAAAGGACAATAAACAATTTGAAACAAAGTTGTTGAGTGTCTTCGACATCATAATCACACTTCATTAATTACACGTTTCTATGTCAACATTATTGATGATATCGCCGCACAAGTGACATACATCAAAGAAAAATACTTTACGACTGGTCGCTTGACGGAACAGAACGCTCAACTAATCGACCTTTACTCACTTCCTCATTCGCTCACCACTCCACATAAAATGTACAATTTCCAGCTAATACCAACCATCCACTGAGAACGAATAGTGAAAAGTGTTCAAAAAATTTATCGAAATATGCTAATAATTAATGCAATAACTAATGGTCATTAAATATTCATTGAGACAACGACCAAATATTTTTCCGTCGTATTCGTAGGCTGCCCAAAAATTGATAATAGACTCGACATGCACTTTATAGTGGTAGAAAAATGACACACGGTATCATCAATTATTCAACGATTGACATTTATATTGCAATTCAATTACGATTGTTTATGTTTGGATACGTTAAAAATTCCAAACCAATAACGGGAAAAAAACATCGGAATACCAATCGTGACTGTGAAATGCAAATATGGCGAAATATTTTCCAATTCTGCACATACTTTTTAGAGTGATAAATGGTGATTGTAAACGTAAACGTTTATATTCAAGTATTGGTGCTTATGCAGGACATGTAAATGTGGTAATGATCTCGACACAATCAAGTGCCTACACATTCGAGCAAATATTTGCTCTTCATTGAATCAACGAAACTTTCAATGCACTACCCTTACATGCTTTCTTCTCTTCCGTCTATACACAATCTGAACTTCCATTTCCTTCAACACTGGATACCGAGAATCAAAACCATTGCCTTGTATGCTTAAGTCAAAATAAACGTCTCACATTACTTCATCGCTACAATCACCACACATGATATATGCCCCTTTCACTATCAACATTTCCAAAACGGTCACAATATAGTGCAGCTGAAAGCGAGAATGATTCGATANTGATTCGATACTCAACGAGTGCATAAATCAAACGAAAATGTGCTCAAATGTGCTATTCATGAACGTTATACACTGAACACATTCGACAGACAATTTCTCGGAACCTTTCTTTACGAATCAGTCACCAAATTCGAATTGCATTCACAGAAACCAATCCCACATTTCAAAATGATTCATGCCTAAATCTATAACAACTGTCATCAACAATGACCCACGAACAACTGGCGGCAGGTGGTGTGTTACGGAGAGATTTCATCACAGATGTAACCTATAATCACCACGTAATAAGGAAGGAGAAACAAGCAATTTCACGGTTGTCACTGAATTTCACACATAAACACGGCTGCAACACTGCGAAATCAACAACACGCGACCAACCTCGGCGGGTGAAAGCATCGTCAGTGCGGAGTCTCAAGTAACTCGGAAATAGGCCTTCTTTCGGACTGATTCCACAGTCAATTCAGTTGCAAATTTGCCCCAAAAACCGACAACAGATTGAAAATTTCCACGCATGCTAAACGCAACAAATAAGCTGCGAAAGAAATCACAGTCTGTCAGTTATTTCACCACAACGCCATCAGCACTCATTATGCGTCATATAAATGAAATTAAATTTGCATAACCAATGAACACAACCAAGTCACCGCCCAACAACGAGCAAACTGAACTTCAT